TCAGCAAAAAAGAGGTGTGTCATTGGTGGACCACCTCTGCCCATTTTTAACCCTCTATAAATTCCACTGTCAGAGGCATTCTTGATAAGTTTTGAGAGGACTTCAGACACAAGAATGAAGATATATGGAGACAAAGGGTCTCCTTGTCTGAGTCCCCTAGAAGCTTTCACAAAACCTTTCATTTCCCCATTGAGGTTGAAAGAGTAGGCTGCTGAGGTTAAACAAGACATGGTCCACTTGACAAACAATTCATGAAATCTCAATTTAGAAAGAATTTTTTGAACTTGCTATCCATTCAATCCGGTCAAAAGCTTTTTCCATGTCCATTTTTAAAGCCATAAAGCCAACAGTTCCAGATCTGTGTCTATTGAGGTAGTGAATAGCCTCTTGGGCTACAATCACATTATCAAGGATGTGTCTGCCAGGGATGAAAGCACTTTGGTTTGGGCTGATACATTTATGGAGACACTTTTTGAGTCTAGTGGTTAAGATTTTAGAAATGATCTTGTATGAGACACCACAGAGACTGATGGGTCTGAAATTAGTGAGGGAGGAAGGGTGCAGAGATTTAGGTATGAGAGAGATAAGGGTATGGTTCCAATTTTGAGGAGAAGACCAAAGGAGAAAAAGCTGAGGATGGCATCACAGAGGTTGTTTTTAATGATTTCCCAAAATAATTGAAAGAATAAAGGGGACATACCATCTTGTCCAAGGGCTTTTCCTGGATCCATGGAGAAGAGTGCTTCCTTTATTTCATCATGAGTAACTGCTGCCACCAATTCCTCATTAGTCTCAGAGGATATGCAAGGTTGAATAAGCTGAAGAATTTCTTGGTCTCCATAGGATCTTTCAGTGGTGAAAAGTTTAGCTTAGAAATGGCACACACATTGCTCTATCTCCTTCACAGTTTCCCAAAGATGGCCATTTTCGTCTGTAATGATCACTATTCAACATGTGATATTTGTATTTACTTTTGGGAATAGGGAAAACTAAAAAAGAGGCTTTTGACTACATTCTTTAAGCGGTGAGTTGAAGAATTATCAGCTAGAAAAATAAATTATTGTCTAGTGTAGGAAGGGAAGTGCTCATCAAAGCTATTCTAAATGCATTGTCTGTCTTTGCAATGTCATGTTTCATTTTGTCTGCAGGTCTTTGTAAGACAATCTCTCAACTCTGTAGTCTCTTCTGGTGAAGTAAGGATGGGAACATGGTAGAGAGGTTCATTGGAAAAGCTGGAATCATCCGACTTTGTCGAAAATCAATGCGGGTCTAGGCTTTCAGGACATCAAATTCTTCAATGAGGCTTTGTTATTGAAGCAATTATGGAGATTAGTCATTGAATCTCAGCTTCTGGTCAGCAAATTGTTTAATCCAGGTACTTTTCCAACTCTTCCATCTTTAACAAATAAAAGATAAGGTGCATCTTTTTAATGGAATAACTGGCTAATGAGTCATTAACTTGTTTGGTAAAGGTGCAAGAATGGAAGTGAAAAATGGTTTATAGACTAGAATTCAGTGCCTTGTTGGGTTCCTTTCCTTGGGACTAAACCACCTATGATCAAGGAAGGGTATAAAGACAGATTGGTGTGGGTATGAGAGCTGCTGCAGGAGGATCGCAGACATTGGAATGAGGACCTAGTTAAGCAAGCTTTTAATGAACAAGACATCACAACTATACATCAAATTAGTATCACGAATCCCAACTTCCAGGACACGTGGAGATGGAACTTAGATTCCAAATGGAGATTCTCAGTTGCTTCTGAATATAGACACCTCATAATTACATCAAGATGCTTCAACTTGACAGAGCTTAAGACAGTTGCTCAACCAAGGTAGATGAGGAGGCCAGAATCAGAAGTTGGAGATTACATGTTAAGGGTAAAGTAAAACCTTTATGTGGAAGTGTTACACTGGCACTCTTCTTGTGCTTGTTAATGTGAAAACTAGAGGCATCGAGGTGGATGAGATTTGCAGTTGTTGTGGTGAAGGGGTAGAGACAGTGGAGCATGTGTTTTTTTCGTGCATGAAAGCTTCTCTTGTTTAGAAGATGGCACCTCTGCACTGGGATGAGTTACAGACCGATCAAAGCAGATTCTAATTATGGTAGTTGCAAATTTGTACCTTGGACAAATATGAGGTTTCAAGGGCTCGAATTCAGCTAACCACCTATATGTTGGGTTCTATTAGGAACGTAATTGATGTGCACATTCGAAGCTATCGAAATAAATCCTAACGCAGCGGAATCTATAGTTAGGATTAGAACATTACTGTTTAAAAGTTTTGCCGACTTTGAGACGTTTTTCATTTCCTCTATAGAAGATCGTCTGAATCGCAGAGTCTGTTTGGCAGCCAAACTTGGTCTTCTCGGTTGAATCGGGTCGTCGGGACACTCACTGGGATTCAAGGCACGTCGGGCTCGGGCCAGTCGGACGTCGGTGGGTTGCTGCGGGTCGAGGCTGGGCGTCTGCAGGGTCGGGGCTCGCAGACTTGGCGCGTCTGGCGCTGGCAGAGCTCGTCTGGAGGCTGAGCGAACGGCGTCATCTGTGCGCTCGTGGGCCGATGCTAACAGACGAACTGGGGCGCGCAGGCTAACGTGCGCAAGCAGTGTCCGAGGACTTCGGGCGCGTGCGAGTGCTCTCCTACGTCTACGAGGACTAGGATGCGCAAGCTTTGGGCGGACAACATGTGTGGCAAGCAGACGAGGTGAGCGAGGATGTCGGACGGTGGTGCGCGAGAAGACAGGCTAGCATTGGGATCGTCGCTGGGTGCTCGCGATTGCGTCTAGGCAACGTGAGGCTGCAGGCGTTGGCTCGCGGCTACGGTATGGTGGACCCGGCGGCGGCGTGGTGGCTCCGACAGCTGAGGGCGATGGCTCTGGTCGCCGGAATTTCTGTATATAAATAAGCTCGAATAAGTTGTACCTAAAAGCCTTCTAATGTATGACCTTTACACCTACTTCGAATAATCTTGGTGGGCGATTAATCGAAACTCTCGAACTCTCATCTATATTTAATGTTCGATTTTCCTCTCTTTGCAAGACCTTAGAATCGGCTCACATGTATAGTGGAAGAGATTTGGACATGGTGTATTTATAGTCTACATTAGGGCCCTTAAGGAGGTGCTAAATATGGGTTTATCCTTTTAGGTTAAGGAAACCTAATTCTCTTTACATCTCCTTTCCCTTCTAGAAGCCTTATTCCTTCTAACCCTAATTACTCCTTCTAGAAGACTCACAAGTCTCCTAACCATTGGTAAAATTCTAGAAAGAGTATTCCTTTTCTTAGGGATTTAAATAATGGAAAATAATTAATTCCTTATTCCTAAATAGAATTAAATAATTAAAATTCCACTAGAGTAATATTATTGATCTCCCCATTTAGCTCCAATTTGTTCAATAAATTCGAACCTCCACTTGATTAATAAATATTAATCTAGTTGATCGATTTACCATTCCTATGTTTAAGATATAACGTCCGTTGATTAATTAAATTACTGACAAAATAATTTAATCAACTTCTTATTCATTTCCGAAAGTAGTAGCACTCAGATCCTTAATCATTAATTATGTCGGATACTCATCCGCCTGCAGGGCTTGACATAAATTTCATTACTGAGCTCACTTCGGGAACGTCATCAACCCAGCACATTGGGACATAGTGACCGTAACTAATTATAACAACACCTCCTATGAACATCATCATTTACCAAAATACCGAGTATGTCATCCTAATAAAATAGGAATAACCCTTGGTAAATCAAATAAACAAGTAATGAATATATATGCCTGTTTATTACATTACGACTTAAGAGTACGCATCAATTACTGAAGGTCTACATTATAATTGCGATCCGTAAATCTTATAATCTTATCCTTCCGCGGTTCGTTCAATACTTATCATAAGTACTAGTGTCATCCGTCAGTCAAAGACCAACTGAATCAAGATTACACTACAGTATTTTTCCAACAGGAGTCTCAATGTTTGTATATACTGTGAACAAATAATTTATTTTACAAGGAACTGATATATGATCTTTCTGTTCGACACATCGAACCATACTATCTACAATGTAAGAAAATGAGTTATGATTGCATAAATAAATAAACTGCAAACATAAGTACTTTGACTCAAACATGATTGTCTTATCAAAATGGAATTGTCAATATATAAAGTCAAGCTTTTACAGCATATCCTAACCTTATATATGGGGCATACAACCTGTGCGTCTTAATTTGAAGGAGTAAGGATGTGTAAGAATGCTATTGTGAAGATGGCCGTCAGGGACTGACAGTAGTTTGGTGAAGTGAAGAATTGCAAAGGGTGGGTGGGAGCATGTGCTTGCTGGGTTGATTCAGTGGCTAGGCATTTGTTTTTTCTATTTTCATTTCTTTTATTTGTTGGCAGTTGTAGATTTCTAAGTCATCTTCAGTCTATAATTGTGTAGATCTTGGTTCGCGCTTTATGGCACTTCTAGTATCAAAAAAATTCAAATGGGTGTGTATCACAATCGTATTGTTGGTGTCTGGCTCGTTCGGGGGGTTCTACTCTTGAAATTTTGGAGTTGGTTATAAAATTTTCTACCGTTTCCGAAGAAAAAAAAATCACATCAATACTTTTTATTTTGTATTTTTTATTTTTTTAGTCACACATCAGGACTTTTTATTCAATTTAGTTAAAAATTTGTCCATGTTGCGTGTATTTTTAAGTGACTGTCATGGTCGTCATGTGAACCAATGCTAACGACATTGATTATACGTCCCTTTTTAAAATTGATGCCCTACTAAAGTGCTCTAATAGCCAAAGATGAATACTTTTCATGAAATAATTCCGCATTATGTAAGGAAACAATGATTGATATTGTTTATTGGGTTGACAATCCTATCTTACGTGGGTGGGCATTTAAAATATTTGACATTTTGTGGAACTATGTCATATTCAGATTTTATTATATGAAGAGTTGGCCAAATTGAAATTTAATGTTGTTATTTAGATAACATACATTTAACCTCTTTCATAAGCATGCAAATGCACCGCACCTGTAAATTACTCTTTCATATAGACCTCTAAAATCTGGATAACTTAATT